CTTTTGATAGCTGGGCACCATCAGCTTTCTTCACCACATTTGCTTATTCACCCGCTTTGCCTTCAGCACTTGTGTCGGGAAGGTGAGCATCATAGAATGCCTGTTTAATTGAAGAAAGTATTCTTACATTGAGGGAGTATTAAGTTCCTTCTTATACATGTAGAAATGTCATTCGTTTTGTTTCTCTAGGAAACCCAACCTAGCACAAATGTCCAAAATAACCAAACATATTCCCAATGACTCAGCCCACGTGTTTTCGGCCATATTTCCCATCCGGACAAACCTATGCAAGAAAAGGTAATGATGCCAGTGCTCCGTGTTTGATGCTATTTTGGCCACATTCAGACCATGGTTCTTCGCTTCTGCCCTGGAGCTTCATGGTATTAGTGTAGTGTAGTGGTAAGGAACTGGGCTCATTCGCAGTTTGAGACCACAAGCTGCTAACTGCTTGGCGGGAGAAAGACAGGGCTTTCTACTCCAATAAAGAGTTACCTTCTCAGAAGCCCACAGGGGCTTCTGAGTTCTGTCCTACCCAGTAGGGTTTCGATGCGTTGGCCTCAACTCGCTGGCAGTGACTTTTATATTTCCAAAGTCATCTTCAGCGTTGGGCGTTGATGGGGACTTCCCTGTCAAGTCCCTTTGGGTTCAGCCTTGGTGGACATGCTCATCCAGTGTCGCTCTGGCCTTTGTTGTGCTTGTGCTCTTTCTGGTGCTCTGTGAAGTGTGCACTTCCCAAGAATCTGCATTCCTGAGATTCTTTTCTACCACCCCCCTTTGTGCATCTCTTCAGACACAGAGCCTGCATTTTGAAACAGCTTGTACTTCTGAATTCCTTTTTTTTTTTTTCAGCTTTGCTACTGTTCCCATATTTGCCTATCGAATAGTATCAATGTTCACACTTTCATCGTAGAAGTTTGAAAACACCTGTGTGAACCACACATAAGTATGTGTCAGGTGCTGTTTCGTTTGTGAACTACTGGTGAGCAAAACAAGCCTGATCCTAGTGGGCTGACATTTAATTTGGGAAACAGAGACAAGAAAGAAGTGTGCACATAGAGAAGTGTGTCAATATGTAATAACCATTGCTAAGAGAGATCCGTAGAGGATGGAGAAGGATGGTGGGATGTGAATGCTGATTTGAATAGGCTGGTCAGGAAGCGCTCACAGAAGAGAGAACATTTTAGCCGAGACTTGAGAGAACTGAGGGAAAGAACCATGGGTCTTGGTGGAGAAGAGCATTTTAGGGAGAGGGACTAGCAAGTACAGGGGGGGTGTTTGGCTTGCTCGAGATCTGGTGGTAATGGAGAGGGCCTTCAGATGTGGGAGGATCCGTCTGGTGGCAGGGGGAAGGACAAACATGTTGGGAAAATAAACATTCCGACGACGAAGTCAGAGTCAGAACAAGCTGGGCTATGAACTCTGGGTTTTAATCTCTGTGCGATGGGAACTGTTGGAGCATTTAGAGCAAGGCGTGACGTGATCTGATTGATGTTTTACTTGGGGGGCCTGACGAGTAGCGGGGACCGTGGTTAGGGGCGTGAGTAGGTGCTCCAAGTGGAGCTGTAGGTCTCTCACTGCCCTTCAACCAGGGCTATTTCACTCTGATCTACTTTGGTCTCTGGATAGGTTTTAAAAATAGTTTTATTGGCATAAATTGACATATTATACAATTCAATAGTTCAGTCATAATAGGAAGAGTTACGCAGTCAGTACAACAATGAAGTTTAGAGCATTTTCTTCTTTCTGATAGTCATTATTGTTAGCTCCCCATTTCCCCACAACCTGCCTTGCCATATCCGTAAGAGAAAGATTCTATTGTTGTTAAAATTTCCGGAAATTACTGTTTGTTTTTACATTTTTATTGGCATCTAATCCACATATCGTACAATTCAGTAGTTTCATTCATTCAATCATATCAAGAAGAATTGTACAATTATTACTACAGTCAATTTGAGAACATTTTTCCCCTCATGGTCACATCGCCTTTAAAGTGAATTGTGTAATCACAATGAGTTCTAGTGCTCCCTCCCCTCCTCCCGCCTTGTCTTCATTGTTTACTCTCGCAATTCCCTCATCCTCCCTGTCTCTCACCCTCTGGAAATTACTGTTTTATGTTGCTCTTATTTAGGTTTAAAAATGAATGAAAAGTAGAGATTTTAATGTGATAAGAAATGAATATCTCTTAAACTTTCATGAGTAAAAGATGGAAATACAAAAAAAAAATCTTACAAGAAAACCCACTGTTATGGAGTTGGTTGTGACTCATAGTGACTCTATAGGACAAAGATTAGGGCTACGTAGCTACTTCTTTGGTTTCAGAGACTACAAATCATTACTAGCGCACACAACCTCATCTTTCTTCCACTGAGCTGCTGGTGGATTTGAACCACCCAACTTGTAGTTAGCAGCCCACCCTGGCTCCTTGAAGAACTATGACCAGAGGGTTACAGTAACGAGCTGGATCATCTGCATGTCATCCAAAATGTATTGTTCTTTTGTGTTAAGTACAAACACTTTTAAAAAGACCCAAACCCCCAAATCCACTTCCATCAGTTGATTCTGATTCACAGCTACCCTATTTAGGGTTTCCAGAGCCTGAAACCTTTATGGGAGCAGACTGCTGAGCAGATGGGGAGGTTTATTTTATTTTAAAAAATTATTAATCATTTTATTGGGAGGGGGCTCTTAGAAAACTTATAACAATCCATCATTCAATTGTATTAAGCATACTTGTACATATGTTGCCATCAACATTTCCAAAACATTTTCTTTCT